CCCCAAAACCCCAAAACCCCTTAAGGTTATTTTAAAGGAATTATGTTATTACCAATTAAGTTTAATAATATAGAAATATGATGAACTCAATGAATCTCTTACAATTAATCACTTTGATATGTATTATTTTTCATATAGACTAAGTCATCTAATAATAATCTTATGGCTACAACATTGCTAGTTGTTTGGCATTCATAGACAAATTCTCTAATACCTGCGATCCAACTTTGCCTCCTGCTACAGATTTTGATTAGATGGACTTTGAAGAAATGTAGTGCTCGAGGCCTGGCCTGTGCCCAGACCTAGTAACATTCAACAACTGCAAATGGGAGAGAATTTTATGCGTTACATGTAGATAAGAAGGGGATGATATATTTGTGAGAGTTTAAACAAATGGAATGCCAGATCATTGTTATGCTGAGGGATAATTCCCCCCACAGCCTAAAGTTATAGACTTTGAAATTAAATGGAACTCAAACGATGACACAAAGACTCTTGTGACAAATGTTGCTTCATAGATAGAGGTTGATAACAAACTTTGCAACAATCAAACTTTCTTTGATAACCAAATACCTGCAAGCAGAGGATTCCAAATTTATCAAGGAGATGGAGACCTAAACTATGCAATTGGAGTAGGCCTTAATGGAGTGCTCCTCTATCCACCAATCTCAAACGTAACAGGATTTGATCCAATTTATCCAAGAGGAAACACCTAATAAATTATAAATAGGACTGTTTCAATAGATAGATGCTTAGGAACAACTTTCAATGAATCTTCCACCTATCATTATCACACTGTATCTTATTGCTCTATTCAAGATACAATCCCTGATGCATTATATCCTGATTCTTGTAAGAATATTTAGTAATGCAGAATCGCCCCTCTGGACTACCACATCAATCAATTTGTGCCTCAAATAAGAAAGAAGTATCCTATTGGGATTGCCAAAGATGGAAATATCATTTATGGGCCTTACGATGCGTCTGGTTAATTGTGGGACTAATCTACTTTGGATGTTTGCAATGGAATATTTGTTGACAAGTAGTATGCATATGTAGCAACACCTAATTTTCCTTATTTAGTTGGTTGCTGGGGTCCAGGGTCTGTCAAGAAAGTCTCACCTTAATGCACACGTAATTACAAATCCTCGACTATCTATTTAAAGTTATTAAGTTCGGAATTGATTCTTCTGATTATGGCAATCTTTTTAATATATTGAAGAAAATTATATTATTCTTATAAAAACGACAAATTATTTTTATTTCATTTATGGGGTTTTGGGGTTTTGGGG